TGTATAAAAGAAAAACTATAAATACCTTTTCATTGAAAAGTGATACAGGCTTGGACCTTGAATCATTTGCTTCCACAAGTCCATGGCACAATCTATTGAACTTTGGCAAATACTGCAATTTCAGGAACCGTAGATGGGCAAACTCAAAATTCTCATTTGCTTCTGTTATTTCATTAGTGGTCACTTGCCCTTCCTCATCAACAATCTCTAACATGTTAGAGCAATCTATTACTCTAACTTCTTCAAGTTGGAGAAACCGTCTAGCTATGGAGAATGGGAACAAACTCTTGAGCTGATAACAACATTCAACAGTTATAGTTCTCAATCTTCTAAAAGATGTTTCTGCCAGCTGGCCATGACAAATCTTCACCATATTATTCAAATTCCGAAGAAATAGTACTTCTAAGAGGGGAAATGCATACCGAGGAATCTCCCCCACTGAGTTAATGATATGCTGAATCTCATGAGCATTTTGAACATAAAGATACTTCAGTTCTTGAAAACCTTCAGCATCAAACTCAGAAACTATATTCTTCACACCCTTCAGTTCGTCTAGATGTAGTTCTTCTGTTTTCTTCAACAACATGCAGATAGAATGGTCACAAGTAATTCTTGTATTCAACTCCAGCTTCAATATTTTTGAGCTCTTGAAAGAACCATCCCTGCTGTTCCACACCTCTCCAATGAATATCTTGTATCTTTCCAATCTTTCAGAGAATAAGTCTAATAAGTCTTCTGGAATAATTTGGACATCACATGCATGCACATCTAAAGCAACTAGGTTATGCAAATTCTTCAACTCAGCCAGGCTAGCATTTCTTTGATTTCCAAGTCCGTTAGCATCCCATTGATTGAAGCTGTTTTGCAGGTACAGTTCTTCTAGCCTGGACAAACTCTCTAAGACATGGGGTCGTATCACTTTGAGCTTGGTACAATCATTCAAATCTAGAAACTTTAGTTGGGTCAGATGTCCAATTTCCGTTGGCAACTCTTCAATATCACTTCTTGAAAGGCTAAGGACTTCCAAACCACTCAGCTCTGCAACAATACCTATTTTCTTTATAACACTTTGATGCATATGTAATGTATGGAGGTTTTTCAGGAGGCAAATTGATGGAGGCATGGATGAGAAATACATCATGGTAAAATCCAAGACTCTGAGATTTGGCATTCCCCGAAAAAAATTGTCTGGAATTTTCATAAAAGGATTCTTGCTAGATAAACAGAATAAGGTAAGTTGCGGACAGTCCAGCTCATCAGGGAGCTCACTAATAGTAGCATGTTGTATACTAATCCATTTGACATCTCCCATGGCCTCCCTATCTGACCACTTTTTGGGTATGTTATCATGTATTAATGATAGCACATGGTGGTCCTTCGAGGCAATGGATATGGCCACATCAAGAACAATATCATGCAATTTAATGTGAGTATCGCTATTCCCATCAAGCAACAAAGAACAAGACTTTAGATTACTAACCAATGTTAGTAGTCTATCTCGTGCTTCTCCTATTGTGCTGACATTCTGAAATAAGCCCAAGCCGATACCATATGTTAGCAAGTCTTCTATATAAGCATTCTGTCCGAACAAACTACAAAGCAAGAAAGTTTGCTTTAGTTCTTCTCTTTCTAAATGCTGGTAGTTCAATTCAATTGCTGAATAAACATTTGCAGAGATACCCTCAAAGTTCCCTGGAGAGGGCTTTTTCAGTTGTAGCAGAGCATCCCTCCATTCATAAGATCCCTTTCCTCTCAAAGCCTTGCCGAGAGATTGAATGGCCAGTGGTAGCCCAGCACATTCTTTGGCAATCTCCATCGCTGTAAGCCGCAAGCCAGAAGTTTCAATTTCGTCGCCAACAATCTTCTTCAAAAGCTCCCATGCTTCTTCATCTTGTAATGGGCGAACTTCAAAATTTTTATTAGTATCCATGTCACATGATAAGACATTGAGAAATCTAGACGTGGAGAGAATCTTGCATTGCATCTGTTCTTCACCAATTGAACTTGCCTCGTTCTTTTTTTCTTCAAAAGGAATTCCAAGTTCATCCAAATCTAGCCTCGACCAGATGTCATCTAAAATCACAAGAATTCTCTTCTTTTTCTTCAGATATGCCTTTAGTTGATTTGCTCTCCCAAATTCAGTCTCCCCATGAAGCTTTAGATCTAACTTGTCAGCAATTTCTCCTTGAATTCTTTTCAAGTCTGGATCCTTTGTCACAGAAGCAAATACAATTGAATCAAATAAATGGGCTTCCTCAGCTCGTCTGGCAACTTCTTTTGCTAACATGGTCTTCCCAACACCAGGCATCCCATACACACCTATCTTGTCAGTGCCAGTATTTCTCAAGGCCTCCATTATACGGTTCAAATCAGGCGTTCTTGACCCAAAGTCCTCAAAACCTTTATTAACTAGTGCTGTAGATTTTGGAGGACAGTAGAAATCTGGGATCTTGAATTTTTCAGCTTCTCGTAGGAGTTGAGTAACAGCCACCAAATGCTCCTCTACCTGCTTGCTGATTTGGCACCGTGCCCTGGGATTAGGACAGAACCCTCGGAAACGCTTCTTCTTGGCCTTGTCTTTATCAACCTCTAACTTCTGCATCTCTCCAATGTACTTCTCTGCATCAGTCAGCCAAATCTTGACCTTCAGCACAGCCTCTTCCCCTCTTCTGTCAGCATCTTCCATAACTTGCAGCACACTATCTCTTTCCGCGACCAGCTTCTTAACTTCTTTCTCCAGATTCTTTAAATTAGTCTTCCATTTGAATACACGAGCTATTCCGTTCCAGATTAGATTGAAAATTCGATCAACCAGGTTCTCTGCAACTTTGCCAGCGACACTGCCAGCAACAGCAATACCAACTTCGGTGCCCGACATTTTCCACTATTTTTTTTCTTTTTGAGTATTGGAAAACAGACACAAAACAATACACAGATAACAGAAGTACAGAGACAAGAAAAGAACCACCAAATGAATGAAGAAGTGAGAATAGCAGAAGTGAGATAAAGAGGTTTGTTTAGTTAGACAGAATCAAAGTGAATACGAAAGGAACTGGGTTATTTATTATTATTATTATTTTTTTGGGCAAGAAATTTTCAGAAATGATAGGCAAAACAATTTGAAAGAAACGAAACAAAATGAAATGGTGAAAAAAAGGTAGAAGTTTCACAGAGATGATCCACTAGCAAATGGATCAAATGGTGAGAATAGCAGAGGTGACAAAGAGGTTTCTTTAGTTGGTCAGAAAGAAAAAGAAAAAGAAAAAGAAAAAGAATAGGGAAAGGACTTGCTTTGGTGAACAGGATAACTTGGAAGAAACGAAACGAATTGAAATTGTGAAAAAAAGGAAGTTTCGAAGTGGATGGATCGAGAAGCCAAGTTAGTTTCGGAGAGCCCAAATTGAAGGAATCCAACATGAGGAGCGGAAAGAAGAATTGGATGGCAGAGATGAGAAGGCACAAGCACCGGCAATAGCAATAAAACTTTCAACGTTATTTCCGCGGAAACAGAGAGCCATCATGATTCATCACAGGACTTTTTCTTTTTTTTTAAAAATAAATAAATAAAAAGGTAAATAGATGAAGCATCATGAATTTAAAAAGAAAATAAAACAAAAGCCATGAGTCCAATATGACACTAGGGGTGTATTTTTTTAAAAAAAAGAGACATTAGGGGTGGAATCATACGGTGTTTTTAGTTGGATATAACCTTTTTTTTTCCTAAACTTTCTTTTTTATATTCTTATTTATGTATTTTTATATTTTACTATTATAATTAAAAAATAAAAATAATTTTTTATTTTTTATTTTTCTTAATATAATTCTTTATCAATAGACTTTTTTTATACATTTTTTAAAAAAGGTTTTTTTTCTCAATTTTTTGTATAGGATTGGCTTAGGGCTATTCAAATCCCTGAACTTATCAAAAAGGTTCATTATCATCCTTGTACCAAAAAAGAATTCATAAAAATCCTTGAACTTCGGTAAAGCAGCCAAGCATGGTCCCTCCGTCAATAGCCGTTAACCAGAGTGCTCCTGGTACTAACGGTTGCTTAGATGACGCTAATGGAGTGCTGACATGCATTCAAAATACCTTTTTAACCTTTCAAGTGTTCCAAGAATGAAAGGGCAAAATGATAATTAACCTTATAAAAATTTATTAGAATGAAATTAAGGAAAATCAATAATATTTCCCAGCTTGCATTAATGACGTTTTTGCGCTTTTGAGCTACAGAATAATATTAATAGAGGAATATTTATTTATATAGAAATTTTATAAAAAAATAAGTATTAATTTATATTGTAAAAAATTAAATAAAAAAATCTTAAAATTACATCATTTGAATAAAATCTTATAAAAAAATATTAAATATCCTAATTATTGTTAAATCAAGGATCTGAATGTTTGAGAATACCAACAAACTGTTGATCCGAATGGAAGGAGTTCGGTTTCCTTTAAGTAAGATCTCGAGTTCGAATTTTGTAAATAGAGAAACAAGCACTGGGAGAGCTTCCCTCTAATGGGGTTCGACCC